AAGCTAGTTAGTCTGTTGTTTGGACTAAAATAAATGCATTATTTTCTGTAGAATAAAACAATATAAGGATAAGAAAATAACACTAGCATTGGAGCTAACAACACTGTCAAAAAACCTTTAGAGGGACAAGAAACATCTTCTCATGAACACATTTATGGAATTAATATTTCTTACACATTCATTTACAACCAAAATGATCAAATATATTTATATACCTGATTTTGAGCCACTTTATTAATGTTGTGTCCCTCTGCCATGTTTAGTTTTGGGGCAATGAAGTTGATCAACTCTGCTCAGGCTCGATTGTTAATGTCTGTGAGCAGTGACGTCATATTGACAGTTTGCTCACTGCTGAAATTCGTGTTCTCAAAAAGAAAATGCAAGCACACAAAAAAAAATCGCATTCACAAAAACAAATTCACACATACAGTTTTATATTTTTTTATTCTTAATTACGAAATTCCATGTATTGTTAGTTTGAATTATCTTAATCTTTAATTAATAAAATATTTTTATGCACAAATACCAATAAATATGCACGAATTTTTTTTAGACATGCTCGTCTTTATTGACAGTAACCTTACCCCATACAAAATGGCCGCGAGTGGTCCCGCCCACAAGAAAATTGTGAAAAAACGCATCTGCGCATGCCTCAGCCGGCGCAAGCTCCATTCATTTGAACGAGAGACTTGAAAAATCCACAGCGACTAAACTAGACTGGTCCAAAACACTCCCCTCAGCATTGACACACATGTGGAACGGAGCTTTGGGCCAAGAGCCAACTTTTGGTAGCCTGACTCTCGCCAGACCCATGTAGTTCACTGCACTTCAACGCCTCTGGTGGAGCATGGCGGAACTACAAGGGTCTGGCAGAGCCAGGCTAAACTTTTGGTCCATCCTGTAAAGACGTTTTTGAGAGGTCTGCCAATGCTAAATGTTAGCATTGGCTAATTCTACTTCTGGGTCCACCCCCTTCGGCCCGGGGTGGTATTGCAGCATTTTAAATGAGTGTTTTAAACTTTGAGCGATAAAAAGTGTGCTTATTGAAAACCTCTATTGAATTATGATTGAATTTCACTAAAGGGAATTCAACATTATAATAAATACTGTATATTTAAACTAAAAAGAACCAAAGTCCATAGTAATTATGAAGCTAAATACTACAGCATTGCTTGATATATTATTAACAAACACAAAGCATACAGTTGAGTATTTTAAAATAATCTTTATTGTATATATTTTGAAGGGGGAGATGTTTCACCCAATGCCAAGTCTGCAATTTAAGCATGAACAATAAAATACATGAAATATACCTCACCAAAGCCAAGCCATTACAAAAGAACAAAAACAAGCCATGTCGTGGTTTGACAAGATAAAAATCTATGCACATCTAAAATGCATCCAAACTGCAGTTAGGCTACAGGAGTTACATCTACTGTCCCAGACTGACCATCTGTGTCAGTGCAACTACTAGTTTCCTGCTTACGACTTGGTGTGTTGAGGGACACATATGCAAAGGAGAGCAGGAAGGGGCAGGAGAAGTTGAAGTCAAAACAATCTCTTCCCACTTGTTTAGACGCGCGACCAGAACGCTCGGTGACAGCGTCTGACGTCATTAAGCACAAGCGTCCAATGAGGCGCTTTGGCTGCGCTTTTGACTCCCGAGAAACGTGCGCTCTGAACCATAGACTGTAAATATTAACGGACAGAGTCACGCCTATCTCAGCCGTTCAAACTAATGGGCCAAAAATAGTGCTCTACTGGAGCTATCCAAAATGGCCGCGAGTGGTCCCGCCCACAAGAAAATTGTGAAAAAACGCATCTGCGCATGCCTCAGCCGGCGCAAGCTCCATTCATTTGAACGAGTGACTTGAAAAATCCACAGCGACTAAACTAGACTGGTCCAAAACACTCCCCTCAGCATTGACACACATGTGGAACGGAGCTTTGGGCCAAGAGCCAACTTTTGGACCATTCTGTAAAGACGTTTTCCAGAGGTAAGAAGATGCTATATGTTAGCATTGGCTAATTCTTATTCCGGGTCCACCCCCTTCGGCCCGGGGTGTTATTGCAGCATGTCAGCGCACGTCATTTTGGCTACTTTTGAGCCGGGACCCGCCCCCACTGATCTGAACACGGCATTATGGACATTGGCCAACTGCCTGATATGGACCAATACCTACGTGTTCTCTTTTATTTGTGTTTGAACTGTTTGATTCTCTGATCTGTTTTGGCGATATCAACGGTTTGGTTAAGTCCTCTGAGATAACTACTGTTGTGATTTAGGGCTTTACAAGAATAAATTGAATGGAAATTGAATTGAATTGTTCAATCCCAGCTTGAACATCTGTGTCACAGGGTGGTGAAAGGTACCTCATCAAGCCATCAAGCCATGGTTTGCAAAGATACAAATCTACACACACCTACTGTATAACATTTAAACAGATGGAACATTCATGGGATGGACCTTCACCCCTCGCCGGAACAATCTCTTACTCCACGCCCACAAGCTCCTCTTCCACAAGCTCCTCTTCTGTTTGACTTCCGTCGCTTCCTGGAGCTCCTTATATTCTTTCGTCAGAACAGAGTTGTTGTTCTCTGAAGTTGTGAGAGCCTCGGATATTTCCTGCACATTCTGCTTCTCTGTCCACAGCTGTTTTGCATGAGTCTCCTTGAGGCCCTCCATCTTCTGTTTGGTTTTCGACATTCGTTTTTGCAGAATGTCCATTTGTTTTTGAGTTGGCTGAGAAGTCAAGTCAGCTTTGAGGTCGTCTATTCTCCTCTCCTCCTCCTGCATTTTGTTCTCTCTCCTTTCATTTGCACGACGCTCTTGTTCCAGGGCATTTCTGAGAGACAACACTTGAGTTTGAAGCTCTTCTTTCTCTCTTTCCAGCTTCTCCTGTTTGACTTCCGTCGCTTCCTGGAGCTCCTCATATTTTTTCCTCAGAACAGAGTTGTTGTTCTCTGAAGTTGTGAGAGCCTCGGATATTTCCTGCACATTCTGCTTCTCTGTCCACAGCTGTTTTGCATGAGTCTCCTTGAGGCCCTCCATCTTCTGTTTGGTTTTCGACATTCGTTTTTGCAGAATGTCCATTTGTTTTTGAGTTGGCTGAGAAGTCAAGTCAGCTTTGAGGTCGTCTATTCTCCTCTCCTCCTCCTGCATTTTGTTCTGTCTCGTTTCATTTGCACGACGCTCTTGTTCCAGGGCATTTCTGAGAGACAACACTTGAGTTTGAAGCTCTTCTTTCTCTCTTTCCAGCTTCTTCTGTTTGACTTCCGTCGCTTCCTGGAGCTCCTCATATTTTTTCCTCAGAACAGAGTTGTTGTTCTCTGAAGTTGTGAGAGCCTCGGATATTTCCTGCACATTCTGCTTCTCTGTCCACAGCTGTTTTGCATGAGTTTCCTTGAGGCCCTCCATCTTCTGTTTGGTTTTCAACACTCGCTTTTGCAGAGTGTCTTTTTTTTCCTGAGTCGGCGCAGAGATCTTTGTTTTTTCTTTGTCCAGAGAGGATCTTAGAGAGGACACTTCAGCTTTGAGGCTGTCTTTTACATGACTCTCTTGTTCCAGGGCATTTCTGAGAGACAGCACTTCAATTTCAAGCTTCTCTTTCTCTTTCTGCAGCTTCATCACATCTCCCTCTGCTGCAACTTTGCCCATTATCTCCTCTTTCACCTGATCCTTGAAAGTCTGAATCCTCTCCTGTTCTTCTAGTAGGAGATTTTGTGCTGCAGTTTTGGCCTTCATCTCCTCTTTCATCTGATTGCAGATGGCCTCATACTTGTCCTGCAATTCTTCGACTGCGCGTCTCCTTTGTTCCAGGACAGATGTGACAGTCTCCATTATGGTTTGAAGCTTGTCTCTCTGTCTCTTTTGCCCCAGCATGTCTCTCAGTGCTGCAGCCTTGGCCTTTATCTCCTCTTTCATCTGATCGTTGAGGGCCTGATTCTTCTCCTGTTTCTCTAGCAGGAGTTCTCGCAGAGAGTTGGACTTCACTTTACTCTGATTGAGATCATCCAAA